GTCAGATTTGTTAGAAATTAGTATGGCCACACCTGCTTATTTCTTAGGACAATTTGCTTGAAAAACCTTTTCCCAACCCTTTACTCTGAGTAGATGCCTGTCTTTATGGTTGAGATGTGTTTCTTGCAAACAGCAGAATGTTGAATCCTGTTTTCGTAACCAATCTCTTAGCCTGTGCCTTTTTATAGGTGAATTGAGACCATTAATATTAAGTGATATTAATGACCAGTGGTTGTTTGCTCCAGTTATTCTTATTGTTTTTGGTAGTAGAGTTTGTGTGTCTCCCTTCTTTGAGTTGTGCTGGTGAAGGGTCACTAGATACCTGAGTTATTGTAGGCAGTGTTGGCAATGTTGGATTCCTTGGGTTGCGATTTTTCTTCTATTACTTTCTGTAGGGTTGGATTTGTGGCTACGTATTGTTTAAATTTGTTCTTATCCTGGAATGTCTTGTTTTCTCCATTGATAGTGAACAATAGCTTGGCTGGGTATAGTAGTTTGGGTTTGCATCCATGGTCTCTTAGTTTCTACAGTACCTCTATCCAGGACCTTCTTGCTTTCATGGTTTCCATAGAGAAGTCAGGTGTAGGTCTGATCAATTTACCTTTATAAGTTACTTGGCCTTTTTCCTTTGCAGCTCTTAATATTCTTTCTTTAATCTGTATATTTTGTGTTTTGATTATTATATGGTGAGGGAATGGGGTTTTTTGATCCAGTCTGTTTGGTGTTCTGTATGCTTCTTCAATATTCAAAGGAATATCTTTTTTATGTTGGGAAAGTTTTCTTCCATAATTTTGTTAAAAATATTTTCTGGGCCTTTGAGCTGTGACTCTTCTCCTTCTTCTATCCCTATTATTCTTAGGTTTGGTCTTTTTATGGTGTTCCCATATTTCCTGAATGTTTTGTGATGAGAATTTGTTGGCTTTGCTGTTTTCTTTGATCAGTGCATTTATTTTCTCTATGGTGTCCTCAGAATCTGAGATTCTTTCTTCTATCTCTTGTATTGTATTGATTATGCTTGTTTCTGTAGTCTCTGCTCATCCTAGATTTTCCATATCCAGCTGGTCCTCAGTTTGTGCTTTCTTCCTTGCTTCCATTTCAGTTTTCAATTCTTGAACTGTTTCTATTAGCTGTTTGATCTTTTTTCTTGGTTTCCCAGGGTATCATTTACGTATTTACTCATTTCTTCAAACTTTTTGTCATACTTCTCATCCATTTCTATAAGGGCACTTTTTTACATGTTGTTTAAGAGATTCTATTGCTTTCATGAAGTCAATTTTTTCCACTTCTTCTGTGTTAGGGTGTTCAAATCCTTCTGTTGTAAGATCATTGGGTTCTGGTGTTTTCATGTTGTTTTTCAGATTGTTGGATGAATTCTTGCCTTAGCACCTGCCCATCTCCTCCTATCGATGCTATCTAATGGGTCTTTTAAAACAGGCTCAGGTTTCCCTGCTGGCCAGGGGCCCCTCTTACAAAATGCCCTCGCTCCGTTTCCTGGGTTCCCACCGTGGGCCAAGATGCCTGTCACCACTCAGAAGGGTCTTCAGGAATAGGACCAAGTTCCCCATTCACCAGGGATCTCACCAACAAAAGGCCTACCACTCTGCAGGTCAGCCACCAAAACAGAGAAACTCCCGCTGCCCTCTGCCCCGAGGACCCGACCCAGCACCCAAACAGGCTAAACTGGGTGATCCCACGGCCCTGTGGAAGGGAGGGAGAGTGAAGGAGGCCCCTGGGTGCTAGCTGGGATGGGCCAGGGAGAGAGAGGTAGCAGCAGAGGAAGAGCAGCCCCAGCAGAGGGGACCAGCCCTCGCAGATTAACGGGGGGGGGGGGGCTGTGTCCTGCCGCGGGCCAAGAACCGTCTCCCCACTCAGGAGGGTCTTCAGGGACAGGACCAGGCTCCCCATTAGCCAGTGGACCTCGCCAATAAAAGGCCTACCATTCTGCAGTCTGTGTGCCGGTCTTCGCTCATCTGCATGCCAGTCTCCGCCAGGAAAGATCTTAACCTGCGTCTGTCTGGAGTGGGAGAATCATGGCGACTCCATTCTATTCTTTTTAAAGGAAAATTCTTTTAATTTCTTTTCCAGGTGTATCATTATGAATGATGATTTTTGTACCCTATAACTTTACTGAATCTATTCATTAGTACTATTATGTGTGTATAATCTTTAGGATTTTGTACATATAAAGTAATGTTACTTTCAGTTTTACTTACTCTACCTTCCTCCCTCCTTCCCTTTCTTCCTTCTTTTCTTCCTTTCAGCACAGTATAAGAGACACTGCCTAGAGTGAACGTCCTTTCCTTGTCCCTGACCACAGGGGTAAACGCTCTAAGCTTTGTGCTTTTGGAAATAACATCCTGGCTTCCCCATATATGATACGTATTATACTGAGGTACAGTTCTTCTAGGCTGAATTTTGAGAGGTTTCTTTCTATCATGAATGCATGTTGAGTTTGTCCAACACCTTTTCGCCATCTGCTGGTGGGACATGGTTTATGTTTGCCTTGTATTAATATGATGCATCCCATTTACCCTTCTGCAAATGTTGAAGCATTCTTGCTATGAAACATCCTGTTGAGATGAGAAAAAATGTCTGACATCTGTGGAAGGATTTCTGAATTGGTTTCCTGTTCATGAGTTTTATGAACAAGGCTAAGACTCTCCTTAGTCACAAGCACCAGAACTTTCCTCTGAAGTTAGCAAAGTGTCAGTTTGGTTAAACACTGTGTCTGTGATACAGGCTGGCTTCTTCTGAGCCTGAACCTAGCGCTGTTCAGGATTCTTGGTCTGTCCAGGTTAGAAGCTATGCTCTGGAGTTAGGCAGATGGCCAGTTTGACTGTTGGCCTAGGTGAGGCCATAGGTTGGGCTCTTACCAGATGGTGTGCCTTGCTATTGGACTGATTGGATGGGTAGAGCCAAGGTTATGCTTTGCTGTGAGGCAGAGCCAGCATATTGTCCTAAGGAGTGAGCTGTCTCTGTGTCCAGACTGGAATGCTGGCTAGGAAGACCTGGTCAGTGTGGTCCCAGGACAGATGGAGGCACAGCCTGGCTTTGCAGATCACAGCAGAAGACTGGGATCTCCCATAGGATGCCACTGATAGTGGAGGCACAGCTCCATCCCCAGTCTGCCATCCCTGCCCCATGCTTTGTTTCTCCTTGGTCTGCTGCTGAGTCATCAGTGTTCTTCATTGAGCAGAACAGATGGAGTCTCCTGAAGGCACCTGAGAGTTCTGGGGAGCCATATGCTCTCATTTGATTCTGTTTCCCCACTATAAAGAAACTTTAGATCCAGGGTCACCACCTTGGTACCTGTTCCAGCCTGAGCAAGGGGCAATGCAGTCAAAGTGAGACTGCTTCTCTTGTTTTTCTGATGTGAGTTTTGCAGCCCCTGGGTAAGGTTTAGCCTCCTCCTCCAGTTCCTGGGGGAGCGATGGTGGGATAGTTCCTGCTTGGTTGTTCTGTGCTGAGAGTTAAATTCATGAACATCCTGACATCAGTAAGTTATCTTTTTAACCTAAGTGTTGTCTATCACCTCCTGACATTCCTGTTCAGACCGTGGGAACATCCAATCATACAGCGTTAGTTAGGGTTTCAATTGCAGTAATAAATTATCATAACAAAAAACAAACTGGGGAGGAAATGGTTCTTCTGGCTACACATTCAAATCACAGTCCATCACCAAAGGAAGTCAGAGCAGGAACCTGGAGGCAGGAATCTGAGCAGAAACTATGGAATAACACTACTTACTGGCTGGATCCATTTGCTTTCTTATATACCAGAGGACCAGCTGTCCAGGGCTGACAATGCCCACAGTAAACTGAGCCCTCCCACATCAATCACCAATCAAGAAAATTCCCTTTAAACTTGCCTACAGGCAGTACAGAAGGAGGCATTCTCTTTTTCAATTGAGGTTCCTCTTTTCAGATAATTAGCTTGTGTTAACTTGACAAAAAACAAAACAAACAAAATTTTAAAACCCAAACCAGCTATGACACAATGTGTGTTTGTTATTCACAATATCTGCCTTTTCCCATGCTCCAGAGGGGAGAAAATGCAGCCTGTCACCTTTAACGATCTGTTCATCTTTTTGGATATCCATTTTCACATTTTTGACAGTTTATTGAGTATAGTTTACTTGCAATATGATTTACTATTTTAATATACATTCCAATGACTTTTTACAGAGCCATGCAACCAGCAGCACAGTCCAAGTTTGGAACTTAGGCCTTACCCATCCCCAGAAGAACCCCTCACAGCTGTGGAAAGTCCAATCTTGGTCTCCTTAGTCCATGCAACCACACATACATCTTTCTCTATGGAGAATTTCTGGGCATTTTATAGATATGGAATTATCCATTATATGGCCTTCTGTGTTTGGCTTCCTTTATTAAGAAAAAATATTTTTGAGATCTATTCACTCACAGAATGTATTAGCATTTTTTCCTTTTATTGAGGAATAATATTTCATTGTATGGCTTGTTCAGGTTTATTTTTCAACTTTCCAACAAAAGTATATTTCAACTGTTCTGCAGTTTTGCTCTCAATAATGCTACTAGAAATATTTGCATATAAGCTGGTGAGAACATTCCTTTTCACATGTAAGAGAACACATAGTAGTGGAATTTTTGAATCATAATTAACATTATGTTTCACTTTATTTTTGTATGTGTGTGGATGTGCAGTATACATGCATGTATGTAAAAACATTCACATGTGGGAGGGCTTATGTGTGCAGATGCACATGTATGAATGTGCACATGTGTGTAGAAGTCAGACGTTGATGCTGGGAGTCTTTGTCCATCTCTCTCCATCTTATATAACAAGGCAGGTTCTCTCTCACTTGAACACAGAATGTGGAAATTTAGTGGAGTTAACTCATTTTATTTATTGAGATTAACTCAAGACCACCTATCTAATGTCTGTTAGTTCTTTAGTCTTTCATTTCCACAAGCATGTAGTCCAAGTCCTGATAAGCATTTCCCCATTGTATTTCCTTCTAGGATGTCCACAGGACACGAGAACACAGAATCTATATTCCGGCTCTTCAGAATACTTAAATTGGACATTTCAGATGCAATAAAAGATTTATTTCCTTTTCTAGAGGTCCTCCGTGACAACAATGTCATCAGCGATAAACAGTATGACGTAAGTGAAGTTTCTTACATCCTGGCCCAGAAAAAAAAAAAAAAAAAAAAAAACCTCCAAATTAAGTTACACTTTGCTATCTTGAACCAAACTGGATGACTGGCAGTTTAATTTAAGATTGGACTTTAAAAAAAAATAAAAAATGATGGAGTTATTTTTAAAACAAAGTTCTCATCTCTCTGCTCGTGGTGTGTGTGTGTGTGTGTGTGTGTGTGTGTGTGTGTGTGTGTGTGTGTTTGTGTGTGTTCACATAGGTGCTGGTGCCTACAGAGTCTGGTAAAGATCTCCAAATTCCCTGGAACAGGAGATACAGGCAGTTGTGAGTCACCTGATGTGGGTGCTGGGAATCATCCTGGGTCCTCTGTAAGAGCAGCACATGCTCTTAACCATGAGCCAGCTCTACAGACCCTAGACCCAATTTTTGACAAAGGATTTTTGACAACATTGTCATAGCACTTTGTACAGATATTAGTTGCAATAATAAATTCATGAATTGTGCATCAGAATTCTGAACTCAGGTTTAAAATCTGTCTTTCCGGGGAGTGACATGCATCATGTAAATATTTCTGGAAGTGTTCTCTCATTGTATGAAGGGGAGGAGAAGCAGAGGACTAAGGAAATGTTCCTGCTTCTATCTGAGGGGAAGGTGTTTCATGGTCCCTTCTGGAATCAGGGTGAGTATTGTTGAAGACAAGCCAGAGCAGAACAGGGGTTCTCCAATGATGGGCAATGTCTTATGCATTTCACACCATGTGAGTTATGCGATTAAAACTAAACGGAACTAACAAAATAAACGAAAACTCAAAGTGATTTTAATTTACTATTGAATTATTTTAATGAACTGACTTAAAGGATATTTCAGTGAGCACATTTTATTTTAATAGACATCTATATTAAAACCCTACCTCTGAGAACATAATACCTATAGAGTCTCTTTTGGAGCAATTTTTTGAACCTATTCATTTTTATTTTATGTATCAAGTGTTTTCTCTGCATGTGTGCCTATGCACCACCAGTATTCCTGGTGCCTCTGGATGGCAGGGGAGAGTTCCAGATCCCCAGACACTGGAGTTACAGGTGGTTGTGAACACCATGACAGGGCTGGGAATCGAACCCAAGACCTCTGCAGGAGCAACAATTACATTCAACCACTGAATCATCTCTTCAGATCCTTTAATTTTTTTTTTTTTGCTTTATGAATATTTGGCCCTCCAGTAGAGTTCACAGTCAGAGGGAATGGACACCTAGTTTCCTACAGGAGGAAAGGTGGTGTCAGATTAACAGAACAGCATTGGCCACCTGCCATGTTAGCTAACTGGTTTTTGTTGTTGTTTTTTAAGAATGCACCTATTTTATTTTTATTTTTATGTGTACAAGTATTTTGCTTGTGTATATGTGTGCATACCATTTGTGTCCCATAAAAGAGCACCAAATCCCTTGTTTTTGAGTTACAGGTGTTTGTGAGGTATTGTGTGGACTCAGGGAACCGAACTAGGGTTCTATGCAAGAGCAGCAAGTACTCTCAAAATGAACCATATCTTTAATCTCTCCATTCTAAAAAATGCATTCATTACTTATTTACCTGTAAGTATGTGTATGTTTGTATTGTGTGTACATGTGTGTATGAGCCTGCTGCTCTGCACGTGTAGAAGTCAGAGGCCAGCCTGTGGCTAGTTGGTTCTCCACTTTCATCATCTGAATCCCAGTGACTGAGCTCAGACCATCAGGATTGGTGACAAGTGCCTGTAACCCACTGAACCATCTCACCAGCCCCATTGTTAACCCTTAGCCCTAGTGTTCCTTTGTTACAGAAAGTGGTTCTTCTTACATGTCATAGAAATAATGGTTGGAGCTCAAAGTCACTAGTTAGTATTTTCACAGAGAAAATATGTACTTGTTTCATGAAGTAGCCAATGCAAATATAAAACTTTTCAGTAGAAGATATGTCTGTTGCGGACTGAGCTACACTAACTATAATTGTTTCCTAGGGTTCTTCTGTGACCTGGAAGTCTGCACTTAAATTTTCTCCATTAAATATCTTTAAAGGATTTTCAAGAATCCCATGGAAACCTGATCCCTGTACAAAAAGTGGTCTACAAAGTCTTGAAAGAACTGGAAGAGAAACATGACCTGGAGGCTCTAGGGTTATTGTTCTGTAAGCAAAATATGAAGGCATACCCTGATTTGGAACGCATTTTTAAAAGATTTAAAAATGGTAATTGGGCTTACTATCACCCTTGAAGATCACAGTCCTTATTTCCCCTCAATAACCAAATATTAAACATCTACCATGTATCATATACAGTGTTGCACAATCTGAGCTATAGCAATTTAAAACCTGACATGTTATGTATCATCACAACTCTTATATCTAATGGCTACAGTGCACATCCGCCCGAGGTCTGCTAGGCTGGGTATTTAGGTATGAGAGCCCCATGAGCATCAGGCTATGGAGAAGAGTACAGGAGGAACTCAGTCCTAGTAGGTCAGCCCTGCTGTGTCTCTTCAGTGGAACCCTTATAATATTGTACATAGGAGTCCATCAGGTTCACTACCCCCCACCTTGAGTGACAGCTCTGCTCTGGGTTGCAGGATCCATCTTAGCTTAGCACCACATGCTCATAGAAATCAACAAGTATGAGCCAGTTCTTCAACCCCATCTTGTCCGTCTTTCAAGCCTGCCCATTATCAAGTTCCCTTTGGTATGTGCCATATCCAAGACCTTCCATCCAAGAAAGATCCCCTTTCTTCTTACAGTTGTGACAGACTGGAAGCCATGTTCAGCTTCTTTTTTTTTTCTGTGTTGATGTCTACCTTCCCTGCCCTGTGAATACTGGAATAGGAACACAGCAGAAAATGTGTCTTCTACTTTTTTAATCTTGACCTTGAGTGTCTCCTTTTTGTATGGGAAGCATAAAATCTCCCCTGTGGGAGTCTTCTCTATCCCAGGACATGCTGGGTGAACTTTGTGATGTTGGACACATTAAATATGAAGTGATGGCAAGACTGAAAGTTCCTAAATGTGTAATACAGAAATATTGCCCCTTGTTCCAGCTAAGGATCTCTAATGGCTTTCTCCTCTTCTTCCCTCTCCCTCCCACTTCAGTTTTACCACAGAACGAATTTTGGTCCGAAGAAATTGATAGAAGAGACCGGAACTCACAGCTCAGTGTTGAACAAGGTAACTATACCTCGAGAGAGGTTCTTATTGCCACAGAGACCAGCAAGTAAAGGTGATCCTTAGCAGAATGTGACTTGGGGAAAAACAGAAAGCAGTAATGAGAGTGGGTATGAACCTAGTGTTACCTTTCCTGCACCAGGACAAATTACCCAGGAGAAGCTGCGCACTCGAATTCTGAAGCAGAAAGATTGAGTTTGAGAACAACCAATTGTACATAACAAAACTCCCTCAAAAAACAAAAGAGATACTTGAGAAGTCAATTAATTTCAGTTCATGATGTTAGGAACTTCAGCCCAGATGGTTTGACCTCATTTGTTATGGTGGGCATGACACCAAAGGAAGGGATTGGGAGAAGCAAGGCTGTTTACTTCATGGTGACCTGGAAACAAGGAAGGAGTGGATATGCCTGTGTCCTTCAAGGATACACCTCCAGTGATATAACTTCCTTCAGCTCAGCTCTGCCTATTAAAGGTAAAAGCAACACCCAGTAGTGCCATTCTGAGGGGGAAATCTCTAGAGCATGAGTCATGGAAGGAGGAGGCACTTGAGATCCAAGCTAACCAGCCTCTAGTGGGATGGAGGATACTGGCAGAGCAACCATGGCAGCAGACAGGCAGCCTGATACCCATGATGAAGGAACCTGAACCCAGTGTTAGTAGACAGATTTTAAGAGACTGACTACTCAGAAATAATTGTGATTTAGAAAAGCCTCTGAAGGAGTTGACCAATATGGAACTGTGAAAGGTGAAGCAATGTGGTCCATGGTGACATCAAAGAGGAAATGCTCTATAAGTGTGATGTCCTGTTTTGTCCTGCCCATACATGCACTGGTCTCTGACACCAGATGTGTAATGAGTGAGGTTTCTCACACCAACCAACTCTCTAGACGCCAGCAAGGTGTCTTATGATGTAATTAAATTCAGATAAAATGTTCAGGGCCTCTCTACTTCAGAGGCTGGTTACAAATGCTGGGATGTGACCTGTGCTTCTGCTCAAGTGAACATAGATCAGAGGTTGCCGTAGCCCCTCAGGCTATAGAACTGTTAGCATAGCTCGTGAACCTCAGGGGAATGTTAACTTACAATTCATTAGAAAACTCATACCTCAAAAATAGTCAGCTAGGGTGAGGGGAGGTGGGGAGATGACTCAGGTGTCAAAGTACATACAAGCACAGGGCTTGAGTTTGATCCCCTAAACTCGTGTAGAAAAACAACTCAAGACACAGGGGCAGGAGCTGTAATCCTAGTACCAGGGAGGCAGAGATGGACAGCTCCCTTGAGAACAATGCTCAGAAAAATTGATAAGGTTTAGTCCAGTGAGAGACTCCATCTCTACAAAAGAGGTTGATGCCACCGGAAAAATGACACCCAAGGCCCTAGGTCATCCTCTGTTCTCTGCACACTTACGCACACAAACAATAACCACATGGGAGAGGGACACCCCAAGGAATAGTGGGGAGAGAACACAACACTCTATTGTCTTCCAGGGGCACACCACCCTTCCTGCACTATGGAGTTTGCCAGCCCCAATCCCTCTAAACAGAGTCTCTTAGGATCTTTAATAAAATTTCCATCATATAGGCATGATGAATAAAATCAGTAGCCATGTGATCAAGTCAACTTCTAGGCCTTCTCACCTTGAAGGTCAAGGTTCCCACGCTGTCATGTTTTGTTCCCCTGGCAACCAGCCCTCCAATCCTAAGGGCTTTCCAAACTTTATTTCTATAATGTGCACTGCAGTGTTACTGAGGAAGGCCGGCTATGCTCAAGGGTAGACTGACTCTCTTTTCACCTTAATCACTTGGAACTCACCCAGAATTGGAGGAGCTCTGGCCAGAAACTGGGGATGAAGACCAAAACTACCATTTCTTCTTATGTCACATTGTCACACTTGATGGTAGAAGAGATGGATTCAAACATGAGAAATGTTGTTTGAGAGCAACAATATTGCAGAGAAAGATAGATAAAGGAATACGCACAGCAAGAGAGTGGTAGAGGTGTGGGAAGGGCAATCGGATTCTTTGAGACAGAGAAAGGAAGAGGGAAGGGGATGAATGAGAGCAGAAAGAATAACACAATGGCAGAAGGATCCATGTTGCTAATTTCTTCCTTTGGTTAGCATCAAACACGGGTTTCCCTCTACCCCAGCTGGTATAAAGTATTGGTATCATTCAGATGCCCAGTTTATAGGTGAGGAAGTTAGTCTTGAGAGAGACTGTGTGTGGAGTGTTCACAGGGTCATATGAAAAGCAAGAATCCAGGCACTAAGGAGGCAGAGTCTGTGTTCTTGACTGTGTACTGCTAATCTCGTGGAAAACATGAAACAGAAGTAGGGGAAATAGAGAGGAAAAATACAGGAAGGAATAGCAGACATGGGAGGGAATGGAGACAGGCTGTTCCTGAGTCCTCATGAGAAGCCAGCAGGGACGAGCCATCTGATATATACGGGGAGGCCATTTTGTGAAGAGATGTGGTCCAGAGACTGCTAGAAACTCAGGTAAGGTCACTGGAAAGGAAAGCTCTGGGGACACGTGCAGGCATGCTATAAACATGGATGTGAAGACAGATCACCACCAGGTGCTAGAGTGACCCAGGCAGTGCTTTCTCAGTCAGAGCTGACCCTTACAACCTATTCTCATGACCTGAGTCTGACCTCAAGAATCATGGAGAGTTTCTCAGCTCCAGATGGGCTCTGGATTGATGCTTCATGGGCTTCTTCAGCCTTTGTATCACAACAAACATCTGATTTTTCTTCCTTAGGACCTGGTGACAGCTGCTCTCAAGAAAGCCTGACCTGGTCACCCTCAGGTCCCTCCTCATCTGATGGTCTGTTCTCGTTGACTCTGTTAACATTGCTGTTTCCTCCCATGTGAACTCGTTTGCTTTCTGTTGCTGTGATAAAACCCCATGACCTAAAGCAATGGGGGGGGGGGGTTTTACTTCATCTTACAGTTTATAGTCCACCAGGAAGGGACATCAGGATAGGAACTTGAGGCAGGGACTGAAGTAGAGGTCATGAAGGAACTCTGCTTACTGGCTTGCTCCCATGGCTTGCTCGGCTTGCATTCTTATATCTGAGGACCACCCATACAGGGGTGACACCTTCCAGTGGTGTTATGTCAATCATCAGTCAAGAAAATGTCCCTGCAGATTTATCTACAGGCCAATCCAATGGAGAAATTTGTCTCAACACGATCCTATCTTGTTTCGCTGACAAAACAAAACCAGCACACACACCTCACACGGGTGTTCTTTCCTCATGTTTCTGATGTCCACAACATTTTCTGCATCTGTAGTTTTTCCAAGTTCAGGGTTTAAATATCAGTGTCTTGGTCCTCAGGTTTGACTAGGAAAGTTTTGTCTCCTGAATATGTCACCCGTATTCTTGAATTCACACCTCTCTGTCTGTGGCTTGCTTGACTGACTAGACATGGCCTACATGCCCAGATCCTCTGTCCATTGGGGTTAGAAAGGAATGATGAACATGAACATCAAGGAGGCAGTGAATTTTCCCCTTTGCGTTCAGCTCATACAATCATGACACAACGGGATCTCCCAAATGATACCTCTACTTGATACCAGGGTAACAGGTTGAGAGCCCCTCTCCAGGGAAGATAGACCCACTGGGGGAGAAAGCTTTGATGTATTGATGTAATGATTGTTTGATTGATTGATTTAATTTGATTAAATTTGATTTTCTGAGAGAAGGTTTCTCCCTGTAGCCCTTGGCTGTCCTGGAATTCGTTCTGTAGACAAGGCTGGCTTAGAACTCAGAGATCCACCTGCCTCTACCTTCTTATTACTGGGATTAAAGGTCTACAGTACTATGGCCTGGATGCCTTTGGTATTTTAATTAGACCACTGTCCTTCCTTAATATAATAGAAATTTAAACTATTGCTTATTTAGAATATTCTAAATTCAAGGCATTGATTATAATATTATACTATCATGCTTATAAACAGAACTTATAATTAAATTACAGTTATAAACAACTATCAATATAATAATGATTATGAGTAAGAATATTATAGCCTTTTCTAATATATTAATACAGGTATTCTTACAATTATCTTCTGAATGACTTTAAAATGATAATGTATTATTACATTTTTCAAAAGGTAAAAAGTTCATTTCATGGGATCTAATCTTTTACCCAACTAAGTGTTAAGATTCAATTATGTGTCAAGGTCCTGGCAGATTAGGAATGTCTGGGTTCAAATTCTGCCTCTGTGATCCCAGACAAGTTATCTATCCTCTCTGGGCCCTGGAGTCATCTCCTATAAAAGGGATGTAACAGTGGTCCAGGCTCCAGATGTACGTCAAGTGATGCCATGAAGAGCGTCAATACTCGTGTTTGGTACTTCATCTCTGTTGTATGTCACTTGTTTCTTGTTGTTGTTACTTATTCAGTCATCAGTGTCAATTGTACCTGCTTCCAGAATCTAAGCTTCTCACACTGCATAAATGGGATTTCTTCTCTCAGGATGTCTAACATGGATACTCACTATGAAATCCATTATTCCTCAGGCTGGAGAAGTACCCAGGGAACCCAAACTGAGAATCGCCAATTCTCCATCCCTCAGATTCACAGTGGTATGTATGCAATAGTATTTATTTTTTTATTCCGTGACTCATCTTTGCAAACACCTCTCTGGCACTTTGAAGGGGTACTGTGTAGATTTCAGGTGGGATATGTCATTTAAGAAGAGATTTTTTTTAAATTAACACTTCATTTTAAAATGCTTTCAAAGATTTACTTATTTTTGTTTTATCTCTATGGGTGATACACACACACACACACACACACATATATATGTATATATATATACATATATGTGTATATATGTGTATATATGTATATGTATACATATGTATATATGCCAATATATACATATATATGTATATATATATATGCCATGTATGTCCCTGATGCCCTCAAGAGGCAGCCAGAAGTAAGTGTCAGATTCCCTGAAACTGAATTTACAAACAGTTGTTAGCCATTATGTGGGTCCTGATAACCATACCCAGGTCCTTCACATGAGCAGCAAGTGCTCTTGACCACTGTGACATCTCTTTCCAGGGTTATCTCTGAAATAATTGTTATATATCTTAAAATCTTTCATTCAAAATTTTAATATTTGAGACTATAGCAATATATGAGTCTGTATTGTTTATTGTTCTTCTGCAGGTGCACAGTGTGGGAATAAGAAGCCCTGAGAGGGTGGGATTGTGGTTAGGGATGAGTAGAGGGACCAGATGCAGGGGGAGGAGGGATGCAAGAGAAACAGGTGAATTCTTGGTGAGTCTGTGTGGTCTGGAACAACCCTATCTGGTAATGACATCCAAACAATACCATTGACAGGGATGGATGAAGACACAGAATTATCAACCCACCACCCAGATGGACCACAGGGTGAACAATTAGACACCAATGTATGTGTCCATTAGTCTGACCCAGCCGAGACACTGGCTGTGATGGACACAAATGGGGCTAGGACTGTACTCGCGCCCATGGCTGTAAAAAGCATGGGGTCTAACCACTATGGATTGTGACATAAAATGCACCCAGGTCCACATTGCATGTTAAGTCTTCTATAATTAACTTTTCAATTATTTTCTCTAATTTAACTTTGTGGACAAAGAATTAGATGAAAACCATGAAACGGTACTGTATATTGTATTATTCGTTCACATACCATTGATGTTGGTGGAATAGAGTGGGCAGGACAGACAGAATCCACCACGGGCAAGGGAGGTTTTCTGTAATGGAAGAGAGGACGTCAGCCCTGAATTTGTTTGCTCTGGGACTCTTTCCCTACCCAGACCCTTACCTCCGGCCTCAGGTCCCTGCTTTCTTTCTTGACAAGTTCCCTTTCCAGCCAGCTTCCTGCAGAATTTCTGACAAGAGAGGCATTTGCAAAAGCGTTTAGAGAATAAAGACAGCAAAGCCCAGGCTTCCTCCATCCCTATCTTGGTTCTCAGTTTGGCAGCCGATGCAGCAGCACCACCCTCCATGGCTCCACATCCCTGCTGCAGCCCAACCCTGCTCCAACCCTAATCACCCTGTCATTACCCGCTATGTTCCTTCAGTCCCTCCCCCAGTTCTCCATCCTCTCTGTCTCTCAGTCTTCGAGGCTTAGAGAGACCTCTCTCTTCCTATTGGATCCTAATGTGATGGGCAAATAAAATAGTTACAAAACAAAATCTGTTTCAGTTGTGAGTTTATCTGAAAACGGACTCTCAGAAGACCTCTATGAAGTAGTAGACGTGAAAGAAGATACCACCGGCGACGACATTGATGGACTGCAATGGCCCCAAGCAACCAGACCGCCAGGCCCAGGTTCTGAGCCGGAGGGTAAGATGGACTGAATATGAGCATGAAGGGCCAAGCTCTGGGAGGGAGCAGAGGAAAGCGCTGGTGTCTGATACAAGAAGAAAACTGCTCAGGCACAAAGAAGCAAAGAGAACTCTTGATGCACTGTTGAGACCTGGAGGCGGTTGTTGAAAAAGAAACCCCAGAGGGAAAGAGATGGAAAAGTCTTACTAGGGAAAAGAAAAGTTAAGAAACAAGAGTCAGAGGGGTTGGCTATGGATTCACGAAGTACAAATACCTCCCAGGATGGGGTGGCCACATGTGCAGATGGGGCTAGAAGTAGGAACGAGAGATGAGATCAGGGTGAGGGATGAAGGTGGAAACTGAGAAAGAGCAAGGCTCTGTGGGATCTCACCTGTGGCCTTTCTTCTTCAGATTCCTGTGAACTAAAAGTCCAACTGAGTGACAGAGATGCAGGCCTGGAGCCTCACATCCCATTGCCCTGCAGCAACGAAAGTAACTATTGTTTACCTTCCTGGCTTTGTTTGTCAGGTGGTCTGTATGTGCTTGGCAGAGCTTTGTTTGGTTTGTTTAAAAAATCTTAACCATTTTCAAACTTGACTATTGAAAAAAGTATAATGTATATTTGTGTTTGTGAGTGTAACTCAGTGGTGGAATGCTTGTCTAGCATGTGTGAGGTCGTTGGTCCAGTTCTAGCGCTACACACACACACACACACGCACGCATGCACGCACGCACACACATACACCCACACACAAGCACATCATCTCAGAGGCAGTGTGCTGTTTTACATATGCCCTCTGAAGTGGCTGCGTCAAGGTATGTCTGTTACCTCACATATATTTTCGTGGGAAGAATATTTAAAATGTATGACCTCAGCAATTTCTTGAGAACTCAATATATTGTTAGTCTTACTGTGTTGTATAATGGACATCTTGAACTTATTCTTCCTGACCGAAATTTTATTTCCACCATGGCCTCAGCCCCCCTCCTCCCTCCTACTTTACGCCCTCTGAGTCGGACCCTTTCCCGTGCCACCTAACGTGAAATCGTGTAGCTCTAGCTCTTTCGGGCCTGGCTTGCTTCATGCTGTGTTCTTGCTCATCCATGTTGTCTCCGCTGATGCGGTCTCCTTCATTTTAAGACTGTCTGGGAGTCTCTCCTGTGTGAACACCACATTCCCTCCAGATGCTGGCAGCTGTTCACGCTGACTCCATACGTGGAGCTTGTCCAGCTGTAACAGGTGCAGGCGTCTCGTTAACAGACTGATTTTAATCCCCCGAGTTCTGTGTGCAGTAGAGAGCACTGTCTAATCACATGATGGGTCTGTTTGCAGTTGTTTTTGAGGAAATTCCATACTGTTTTATCCTAATGGCTGTAGGCACTTACACCTCTCTCACACATACAGGGTCTCCATTTCTCTATGACAACACCAACACTTCCTCTTGCTTGTCTTTTTGGTGATGGCCATTCTAACCAGTGTGAGGTGACATCTCATTTGAGTTTTTTGTTCCTTAACCATGGTGCTGGGCACCCTCGTGGTCCCATGGTTATCCATAGTCCATATCCATAGGAACATTGAGGTTGGGTATCCTTTTATAAAGAAAGGGAAAGTTTTTCACTATGGGATATGGATGCTGGCTGAGTTCCTGCATATGGTGTTTAGTTATAATTGAAATTTAAATTCTGACTTTTAGTTTAGCAAGACATCTTATCTGGGTCTTTTTTCATAAACATATGATTTTTAATTATGAATTCAACCTCATTTGTTGTGACTTGTCTTAAGTCAAACTGGATACCTTCTGTCTTCTACCTGGACATTTACAACTTTCTATACATTTGGAAAGCTTTCTGTTATATCTTCAAGGCTCTTCTTTCCCTATTCCTTTACAAAGGAAATAGGTCTAGATTTTGAGGCAAGCCATTGGTCAAGAGCCTAGGACTATATGGGGTGGCAGGCTTGGAGACTCATGTCACAGGTACTGGCTTGGACCTCATAGGGGCCTGCTTAGTACTAAGTTCACTGAGGCAGCACCAGCATTGAGGTCCAAAGTCAAACTTGGTTCTTGGTTTTTCTTTGCTGCCTTTACCTGGAAGGCATCTCTCTCCATGCTGTATTGTCTGGGGTTAGAGACTGTTTAAAGTTGCTCTCTGCCAACCTCAATGCATCTTTTCTTATTTTCTTGCCTGATCTAGGTGCTGGGGTCACCACTCACCTGGTTCCCTTAGGCATTAGGTATTTCCACACATACAGATGTTCAGTCTGATGAGAGGGAGGGCTGGGTTGGGGGACAATTACTGGATTGCTTTCAAACCAGTTTTCTCCGTTTTTACAAGTCTGGGCTACAATGCAACCCTGTCTGAAAGCAAATGACTCAAAACCCAAATAAGAACCAATGCTCCCAGCACTGTTTATCTTAAAAGCCAAATAATTAAAACAGAGCAAATCAGTATGTTTCGTTTTTCCTTTTTTTTTTTTCTGGTTTTTTGAGACAGGGTTTCTCTGTGTAGCCATGGCTGTCCTGGAACTCTCTCTGTAGGCTAAACTGACATTGAACTCAGAGAACAACCTGCCTTTGCCTCCCAACACGCAGGGATTAAAGGTGTGTGCCATTACTGCCCGTATTAGTCAGGATATTTCTATAACAACAAAAATAATAATGCAAAAGACTCTCACAAACACATGTATTACTTAGATGTACACACATACATTCATATATAAATCTGGGAGTATTTGACTTCTTTGGGAAAAAAGATAACATGGTTATAATTTATTTTATGCTGATTACATAAGTAGTAAAAAAAACAAGATCTTGAAACTGCTGAAATAGCTCAGTTGGGAGAGCGTTAGACTGAAGATCTAAAGGTCCCTGGTTCGATCCCGGGTTTCAGCAAGAGTATCTTTTCTGCAGACATACATACAGACAGAATATTGTATACATAATAAATAAATATTAAAAAATATTTTTTAAAAAAAAGAAACTGGAGATGATAGTTAACTTTAGGAATGACATTCGGGCAGTGGCGGTGCACACCTTTAATCCCAGTACTCGGGAGGCAGAGGCAGGCCTATCTCTGTGAGTTCAAGGCCAACCTGGTCTACAAGAGTTAAGTTCCAGGACAGGCTCCAAAGCTACAGAGAAACCCTGTCTCGAAAAAACAACAACAAAAAAGAATGATGTTCAGTACGGTGGAATGAGTGACCCAGAGACCTCTGGGGTGTTGGTCATCTGCTTTTTTTTTTTTAATCTAAGTGATAGTTTCTCTTCGCAATCATTTCAACGCCACTTTTATATATGAATGTTAATCTGCAGTTAAAATTTTATTTTTTTTCTTTATTTATTTTTTGAAAGAGAGTCTTGCTATGTAGCCTAGGTTGCCCTTGAACTTACCATTCCTCCCATCTTAGCATTCAAAGTGCCAGGATCTCAAGTGTGTACAGCCTTGCCTAGTTAATTTTTATTTTTACAATATCAAAATCAACTACCTCTCCAAGGATTCATTGAGTAGAAGGGAAGGGAAGAGCACAGTGGAAGGGAGATTGGGGGGAGAGGGTTAATCATGTATTCGAAAAGATCTTCTAGGGAGTTAAATGAAAATTCTTTGAGTGTATATGTTTATGTTTGTGTGCATACACGTGTATTGGTCTGCATGTGTGCATATGTGTGCTGAGGCCAGAGGTCAGCCTCTGGTTGTGGTGTACTTTGTAGTTATCATGTACTTCTTATTTTTGTCCTGGACCTCGCTGACTAGTCTAGACTGCCTGTCTGGCCAGTGATGCCCTGGGACCCACCTGTCTCCATCTCCAGAGTGCTGGGATTGCAAACGGATGCCACTTTAGGGATCATTTTTACGTGGATCCTGGGAATTGAACTTATGCTCGCACAGCACTTTACGGCCTGAACTGACTCCTCAGTCCCTGAAAATAACTTATTCATTGTAATTTGGACCAGGAGCAGCGATTCCCAGCCATGGGATCCACACTAGCCCCTGTTCTGTGCCTATGAAAAATATAAAGCAAGAAAATTCTTCATTTTTTTTGGATGATGAACATCAGACCCATTCAAGGACCGACCACAATCAGGCCTCTGAGGTAATAGGTAAGGAGGACTGACAGAATTGCTACAGGTTCCCAGGCAAGAGGCTTAGACAAGTCATCAGGGTCCTTTGGGGCAGTGCAGATAGCCAGGCGGAGGCAGGAAGGGAAAGAGGCCCACTAAAGCCAACCTCCACCTTAGCAGAAGGAGGTGGGGAAAATTAAAGGCAGAAATGAGAAATGGAGGCTAATAAATGGTGAGGCCAGGCTTTCCTTTCTAAATTAAGAGAAGGCAGGTGGAGGGAGGGTTGGTAGGAGTTAAGAAGAGAGAAAAAATGTCAGGGAACCAAAATACGTGTAAGAAGACATGGGCAGGGAAGCGTACCAAGGACCAAGAGGTTCATCGCTGGGTACTGATGAAGAACAGGAGGATGAACAGAGCCAAGAAGAAAGCTAAGGAGCAAAGTAGGAGTGAAAAAGAGGTAGGTGAGGGTGTGGGGAAGTGAGAACCAGAATGAGGGTACAGACAAGATGCTTGTCAGTTGCTAGGAAAGACCACCTCTATGACAGTTCGCTCAGTTGTTGGTTCAGCCTTGAACTAATAGCCTTGCAAAGAACAGCGCGCAGCATTGAGTTAACTGCTTGAGTCTTCCTAATCAATGTTCAGACTCTGGTGTTCCCTGCTGTGTGTGCCTGCTGTCACCCCTAAGACGATGTGGCGTATTTGATCACACTGGGTGAAGATGTGTCTCTCTTTTACCTCACCTGCCTCAGGCAACTTTTGATTGGTTTAATAAGAGCTGAATGGCCAATAGCTAGGCAGGAGAGGATAGGCAGGACTTCAGATGGGCACTCAGGGAAGAATCTGAGAGGTGGGGATTTGCCAGCCAGATAGAAAGGAAGTAAAATGTACTGTACTGGGGAGAGGCAATGAGCCATGTGGCAGAGTGTAGATTTATATAAACGGGTTAGTTTAAGTTTTAAGAGCTAGTTGGGAACAAGCCTAAGCTAAGGCCAAGCTTTTATTATTAATAAGAAGTCTCTGTGTCATTATTTGGGAGCTGGAGGTCCAAAGAAAGTTCAACTACACTAAGATGCTTAAGGGGACTTTTCTTTCTTTCCTTCGTGCAGACCTTACCAGAGATAATCCTGATGATGGACCCAGATGCTCGGAGGAATCTACCTCAGTCACCGGCCAGTCAAGTAAGGAAGCCCAGGGAGCAAGATAGGCTGTGGGCATCTGCTTTCAAACTATTGATTTTTGATGGGTTTCGCTCTGAGTCTGTTCTGTATGATGGATCCCTGAGACCTGTTCTGTGCATTGAATTTCACTTGATTCTTTGGCAAATGCAGGAAAATCGTTGCATACAGTCTTGAGGATTAATCTTGTCAATCAATGGATCTACTCGTCCATTGTTAACAAGACAGAAACAGGGGTGTGTGTGTGTGTGTGTGTGTGTGTGTGAGAGAGAGAGAGAGAGAGAGAGAGAGAGAGAGAGAGAGAGAGAGAGAAGACAACCTCAGATGCTCATCCTATCCTCACCTTCCACTTTGTTTGAGACTTAACCTCTTGTTGATTGGCATGTATGCCAGGCTAGCTGGACCACAGTCTTCCACAGATTCTGTCTTGGATACCTGTCCTGCTGTATGAACCCTAGGGTTACCGTTTTCACCCAAGTAAAGAGGATGAAGTTGATAAGTTGATCCTGGGTGAAAAGGTCACTTCATTTCACATTTCTAGGGCCCTGAGATCTTAAAGACTGGCTTTGTCACCCACCATGCCCAAGACTCCATAGTAATCAGAAATGGAAGCAGATGGTGCACATATAACCTCAGAAAGGGCATGAGGTCTAAGAAACAATGACAGAAGAGAATAGCCACCAGGGCAAAGTTGGCCCCAGACCCAGCCCCAGCCCCAGCTCCAGCGTTGGGGACAGTTTCTGGAGCAAGTTTGACCAATAGCTCAGATAAAGGCAAGGTTGGCCTGCTGACAGCATTGTCTCTCTGCCTCCCAAATAAACTGCAGGTCTGTCCTACCCTTCTCACACAGGCTGCAGGGTTACCTAACCCTACCCGTCCTCTCCCTCACAGGCTGGCAGGACTAGCCCTCCCCAGTTACCCTTCAATTTGGCAGGATTGAGCCTTCCTACACACTCATACAGGTTTCTATTTGTGCATATGTGTAGATGCCGGGAGTTAATGTTAAATATCATCTTAGAAGAGAGATAGATCTCTCTGCCTCATTTTGAGACAAAGGTATCACTCTGAACCTGGAACTCACTGATACAGTGAGGGTGGCTGGTGAGTGGACTTCAGGGACCTTCCTGTCTATATCTCCTCAGCTCTGGGATCATAGATGCTCACTGCTGCACCCAGGTTTTTACACAGTACTGGGGATCTGAACTCAGGTCCTTATGCTTTGTGGCAAACACAGACTAGAACTATTCAAGATTTTTCCTTCTGTTGTGCCAGCACCATTTGTTGAAGATGCTTTCTTTCTTCCATTGTATACTTTTAGCCCCTTTATTGAAAATGAGGTGTTCATATGTTTGTGGGTTAAAAACCGGGTCTTCTATACGATTCCATTGGTCGACTTCTCTGTTTTTATGCCAGTACCACGCTGTTTTCATTACTGTAGCTCTGTAATAGAGTTTGAAGTCAGGGATGGTAATGCTTCCAGAAGTTCCTATATTGTATAAGATTGTTTTGGCTATCCTGGGTTTTTTGTTTTTCCATATAAAGTTGATTATTGTCCTCTCAAGATCTGTGAAGAATTTTGATGGGACCTTGATGGGGATTGCATTGAATCTATAAATTGCCTTTGGTAGAATTGTCATTTTTACTATGTTGATCCTCCCAATCCAAGAGCAAGGGAGATCCTTCCATTTTCTGGTATCCTTTTCAATTTCTTTCTTCAAAGACTTAAAGTTCTTGTCAAATAGATCTTTCACTTCCTTGGTCAGAGTTACCCCAAGATATTTTATGCTGTTTGTGGCTATCATGAAAGGTGATGCTTCTCTAATTTCCCTCTCTGCTTCCATATCCTTTGTGGATAAGAGGGCTACTGATTTTTTGGAATTGATCTTGTATCCTGCCACCTTACTAAAGGTGTTTATCAGCTGTAGGAGTTCTTTGGTGGAGTTTTTGGGGTCGCTTATGTACACTATCATATTATCTGCAAATAATGAAAGTTTAACTTCTTCCTTTCCAATTCGAATCCCCTTGATCCCCTTATGGAGCCACCTTAGGGTTGGCAAGAGACTTGAACCTAGAGTGACTCCCAGATGCCCAGGGCGAGGTCCCCAGTTAGTTTCTTGGGCAGCTGAGGATAGGGAACCTGAAATGACCCTATCCTATAGCCATACCGATGAATATCTTGCATATCACCATAGAACCTTCATCTGGCGATGGATGGAGACAGAGACAGAGACCCACACTGGAGCACTGGACTGAGCTACCAAGGTCTCAATGAGGAGCAGAAGGAGGGAGAACATGAGCAAGGAAGTCAGGACCACGAGGGGTGCACCCACCCACTCAGACGGTGGGGCTGATCTATTGGGAGCTCACCAAGGCCAGCTGGACTGTGACTGAAAAAGCATGGGATAAAACCAGACTCTCTGAATATGGCGGACAATGAGGGCTGATGAGAAGCCAAGGACAATGGCATGAGGTTTTGGTCCTACTTCATGTTCTGGCTTTGTGGGAGCCTAGTCAGTTTGGATGCTCACCTTCCTAGACCTGGGTGGACAGGGGAGGACCTTGGACTTTCCACAGGGCAGGGAACCCTGACTGCTCTTGGGACTGGAGAGGGAGGGGGAGAGGAGTGGGGAGAGGGGGAGAGGGGCGGGAGGAGGGGGAGGGAAATGGGAGGCTGGGAAGAGGCGGAAATTTTTTTTCAATAAAAAAAAAAATGTCTTCCTTGCAAAGCCAGTCCAGAAAAGCAAGTACGCCATGAGCAATCCATGTATGACTGACCCCTTTATCCATATCCTCAGCTTGGATCAATAGCTAACATGCTGTGTATTTATTTGTAAAACCTTAAATGAGAATGTAACTTTCTGGCGTCAGTCTTTTTACCTGGCTCATTAAACCCAGCCTCTCAAACAGCACCTGCCGCATAAAAGGTGCTGAGTTCGTTTACTGGTGGATGATTGACAGGGATGAACATAAATAACTTTTTATCTTGCTTGTAAGTTTTAGAAGCTGGTTTTGCATCATATTTGGGTGGTATCATAGCAAGGAAAAAGAAGAGAAATATGTAGGACCTCAATTCATCTTGGGGGCCAGAGGCCAGCTGGTTGAAACCTAACTAAAGTTTTGGAGAGGAATTTGTGCTCTGTCTGATGAAGACATGTGCTCGGCTCCCAAGGCTTCAGAATAACCTATGAGAAGTTCTCATGTGCAAGTGGGTTGCCCCATAATAGTTTGGGCCAATAGGAAATAAACCTGAAGTGTGTTTGATAGGAGAAGCTATTTTAGTTTGGAGTATTTGGTGTTATCATGAGCTGTAACTTCATCAATAGTGTGTATTTAAAAAAAAAAAGAGCGACTATTTTTTTTTCTTGGAAAGTATTTCTATCTTTCAAAGAGAGGCAGGAGGGAAAAAATAACCACACATTATGTATATGAAAATCAGCAGCTGCAATGTGATGAAAATCAAGCAATGGGGGTTTTAATTAAAATATTCTAATTTCAAAAAAAAAGATTTTTCCTTCTTCCTTCAGGAGTACACAGTGGCTCCTCTCCTGAACTGAGTGCCGGGGAGGAATCTCGGGAATACCTAAGACGTGGGTCAGGTGTAGAAGATTAGGACGCCCAGCCTTGGCCCTCAGGATGTCAGCAATCCGATGACTGAAGGCCACTGTGGCTAGACACATTTCATTCTCAGTGTTATGACTGGTATATATCCAGCTATCCTGGGAACCCCTTTTTAATTTTAGAAAGTGTAGGAAGCAGGAAGTGACCATGAACTCATGTTTAACAGGCTGAAACCTATCAACTAAATTTACATACTTATATGTTGCTGATGTGGGAGAAATAAATAGCAAAGTAATGGTATTTTTTACACACACTGACATACCTACTGTTGTGATTTGAATATGAATTGCCCCCAAAGGCTCATATATCTGATTGTTTGGTTATTGCCTACTTGACACAGATTAGGAGGTGTGGCCTTGTTGGAGGAAGTATGTCACTAGGGGGTGAACTTTGGTGTTTCACATGCTCAAGCAAGGCTCAGTATCTCTTTCTGTTGCCTGCTGATCCAAATGAGGAACTCTCAGCTACTTCTCCAGCACCCTGTTTTCCTGCATGCTGCCATTAGTCCATGATGATAATGGACTAAACCTCTGAAACTGTAGGCCAGCTCCAATTAAATGTTTTTCATTGTAAACGTTGCCATCGTCATGGTGTCTCTTAACAGCAATAGAACTTGAGTGAGATACCTAGTAACACAAAGATCCTATATTCCTAGGGTTATTTGTAATTGTGAAAGACTCAAAATACAACTAGCCTAGCATTGTGATTATAGACACAAATAAAAACTCTGACCAACCTTTGTCAAATTTAGCATAGTTTTTGATAGATGTCCTTTACCACCTAGTTAGATTATATTATATTATCTCAATGTATTTTTAGCAAGATCATAACAGCCTTGAACTTAAGGCCGGCTAACTCTTGCTATTCTCGTTACTAGAGGAAAGTAATATATAAATTGTAAGAGTTTTTTAAAAGGTAATACTGAGATCTAGCAACCCATGTGTTTCACAATTAGTGACCATTGTGTATAGCAGGAGAAAGAAAGCCGTGTTTCCATGGTCAGAATCCAAAGAGGTAGTCAGGAGTCCAGAACATTCAGATGAATGTATCAGAACTTATATAACTAAGGATGATGGTCCTGGGTTCATTAGGAAACCAGGCTAAGCAATTCATGAGAAGCAGGTTACTAAACAGCGCTCCTCCACGGCTTCTGCATATCCATTCTCCTGCTCCAGATTCCCTGTTTGACTTTCTGTCTTGACTTCCTTCCATGATGAACAGTGATGTGGAAGTGTAAGCCAAATAACCCATGTGTCTCCAAGTTCCTTTTGGTTATGGCGTTTCATCATAGCAACAGTAACCCTAACAAGACAGAGATGGAAGTAGAAACAAAGTCACCTAGATAATAAAAGATCCAGAATTATGAGCATAGAGAAGCAGACAGA